TTTGCCAGGGCTTAACAAGCATGCACAAACAGTCACAAACACAAACACAGACAAAACACACCTACGCACACACACACACAGACACTCTGAAATCTTGGGAGAGCTCCCAGGCTTCGCATGGCTTGTCCAAGATGACAGAGTCTAGCCCTCTAACATGTTGAAACGGACCCTCCGAAGCTTTGATTTGAATCGGGGCTAAGGTGTCGGCCCTGGCTGGGAAGCGCTTGGTGGTAGCTGGGGCCTGGAGCTCAGCTTTTGTGTGGTCTCCCATACAGTAAGAAAGTCGTTAATACTCATCAGCAGCTTTTGGTTTCCGTGTCGCTCAATCTGAAGCCGACTGCATCGCTTCGTAGCTTGTAGAGCAGGGAGGACTTGGGCAGGGGTGCTTTGATTGTCGCGATTTCTTGCGAACATCGCTACTCGCTGGTATTGTAATTAACCCGCAGGCCAGGCAGAACTTGGGCAAGGGTGCTTCGATTGTCGCGATCTCCTGCGAATATGCTACTTGTTGATCGCCGCGGGGGGAGCTTTGGTCTTGTCCGGTCGAGCTGCAGAAGACAGTGATGTTGAGACAGACAAGACTTAGACGCTTTACTTCCTTTTCTGCAGCTTTGCTGAAAGGCTGATGTGTTTTCGGTCTGTAGGTTCAAGATGTCACTGGATGGAGAGCAGTGTCGCCGGGTCTGAACGCACAGCATAGCAGCAACCATCGCTTGGCAAGGGTGCTGGCCTCTTGGTTTCCAAACCGGACTCGTTGGAAGGTATTGTATTGGCCAAGTGACTCGTGAACCTGAATGTGCTGACTATTTAAGCTGTTGACATCTGTTGACAATTGTTGACATGTCTACTACGGCTTTTTTGGCCGGCGGGTTTCGATTTCGTTTCTACCTCGGACCAGGCTGATCGTATACATTTGCAGCGAAAGACCGGCTTGACGAATGCAATGCGCAGTGCGCTTGCGCTAACTTCTGTCATTGAAGAAGCACAGCGTGTGAAACGACAAGCAGCAAAATTGATGGCGTTGGAAGCCGCAGCTGCATCAGACGTTCTTTTGCCTGATCTTCGAAATGTTGGTTGATGCTTTTGATTCTGTTGGTTGGCAAGACCCCCATGCTTTGCACACGCAGTCTGGGAAGAAGACACAGGATTTCAGCACAAGGCTTGGCTAGCAAAGCACTCATCATCTGGATGGGTTCATTCCAAGACCCCCCCAAGCAGGGACAACCACCAGTTCTTGCGTGATGTCCGGTTGCCTTCACACGGCCTCCTCCTGGTCAGCGCAAGCAATGTGCCTTCAGTCCAAGAGCGCGATGCGAACTTTCTCGAGTTTCATGCGCAGTTTTTGCTTGACCAGGGATCTTTGTGTTCATATGATTGGTCCTGCCGTCGCTGCGGAAATGCAAGACACATAGCTGCCACGCAAAGCAGCAAGTTTTCGCAACATGCTTCATTCCGATTCTGTATCAACGTAGCCACACGATCTTCGCAGTTGAAGTCTTCGAGGGTGCGGTAAAATCGAGAGCCGTGAATGCGGGCAGTCTCTCCTGCAATTTTGCGACGTTTCGCCGACTTTCTACATCGTCTCGATTTTCAGCACATGTTGAGAGTTCAAAACTGTCTCCACTCAATTGAGAGGGTTTTGAAGGTATTCATTATCGTGAGCGACGTGCGTAGTGTCCCTCGTCATCCGTCACCCCGTCAGCATCGTGATCGTCGGCTGCGAGCAGTTGCATTCGTTGTCCCAGTAGTTAGTCGCACATTTTCGGAAGTATCGGCCTTCATGAAGAACGGGGAAGGGTAACATGAGTCCTGCCATCGGCATGGGCAATCTAACGGAGTCTAGTCACGAGTATAAGGAGTAGCAGCAAGAAGACGGTCCTGGGCCTGAGCTAAGATATGAGAAGTAGCAGTACAACATGAAATGCAGCACACAACAAGTCATAAGCTTCAGAAGGTAAACCTCGGAAGGCTGCGTGCAAGCCTTACTAGCCACTCCCGTGACATAGTCGCTCGTCTCGAAAGATCGTGGCACAAAAGGTATGAATCAGGCGATTTGCGTTACAGGCCGTTACAACGGGGTTGTGGTGCGGGTGGCAACTGCTGAGACGCCAACGATCACCACACATATCAATATAACCATAAGCTGGTTTCGTCGCACTACACATCGGTATGTATCAGAACGACAGCTTACAAGGTTGACCCCAACTCTGCTGCCGGTCGCTGGAATGCAACGCAGAAGGCTGGGTCTCATGTGGGTCTGTGCTGTATGTGGAAGCTCACAATTAAGCAAAGCGATGTGTCGCTACCAGTGCTCGCAGACGTTCGTACGTTTCTGCGTTTCTCGCATCACTACCCGTTCGTTTAGTAGCATCAGCACGATTATGGCTCGTCCATGAGATCTCGGCGACATGTTCGTTTCCGTGGCCGTGCCTCAGAATTCAAGATTGCGGCGGATGTTAATCTGAGTTAATCTGCTGTCTACCAGGCTTATTCTTGTTCTGTCTAGGCAACATTCGCTTCAGATGTCGTGTGACCAGCCCAGCAAATTACCAACTCGAGCTGTACCGTACTAGTTACTCGTAGAACTGCCTCTACTGTTAAGAACACCCCCAGGCTACAAGTTCAAGTTAGTGGCGCTGTGAGTATTATTTCGATACCGTTACTCTTTACAGGAATTGCCACTACCGTGATTTTCTGCATCAAGTAGGCGCGCAGCTGCACTTAAACTGACAACGTGCTTGAACTGCCGTCAACTTAGATTCAACAGCAGCTGCTCAGCAAAACGTCGTGGGACTTGCTTTGGAGCATGAGCCTCCGACGGCCGCCGACGGCGCCTGGCGACAAAGTGAGCGCCAGCAGCCATGGGCCAATCTTCCACCACGGCTGGAGCGGTGGTCACGCCAGCTGCAGGAAGCACTCTTTACGTAAGGCATCTCCGAAGCTCCGTGTATGTGGGAGGCTGAGGCACTGCAATGTTGATACTTATTTCGAATACCTAGCAGGGCATCTGAGAAGCTTACGTCGTGCGAAGGCGGCATCCTACGCGCCGCTCCCTGTCAATGTAACAAATGTAGCTTTCGGAAGAGACACCGGTAGCGGACTTTCAACCCCTGAAAGGATGTGTAAGATCTGGTGGCACGGAGGCACCAGCCAAACAAAAAGGTTATGCGGTGCGAAGACATTCCCGAGTTCATGCTGTCTTACACAGTACCATCTACGGCAAGCCCAGCGGAGATCTTGGTTCGTCTTATTGTGGTGAGCTAGGTCTAGTTCGAACGTGGTTCTTGTTCTTGGTGCAATGCATGGTAGCCGCGCCGCCCGGTGCCATGCTGCGCTAAGTTATCGTGAGAGAGGTGTGGTTCAACGTCACCAAAAGACTTTAGCATCCCAATGCCACCCAGCAGTAGCTGCGTGCGAACAGATGGTATGCAGAAGCAGCAGTTTGACATGGGAATGTCCACGCAAAAGACCATAACCGTGAGTCAAATCGTTGCGTCCCCTCGACCATTGGGAGTTATGGGGTCGCGAGTCACGGCCCATTCTCAAGTTTCGAACTGAAAGGTGAATTCTGGGCCGGGTGCCGAAGGGTTTAAGTCGTGAGCTAGGGATGCAAGCGGATCCGAGAATGTCTCGACATGTTAAGTTGTTTAAGCTCGTGGCGCAGAACCTTGTATTCTGAGTCCTGCCCTTCACATGCCTGGTTGCCTGAGCGATCCGGCTACGGATCCTTCGGGCTTAATTGGGCGCTTGCAATCCTCGAATCCTCGACTTGTCATCGTGTTTCCACTTCCTCCTGAGGTTTGGGGCTCCTCCGAGCACGGCCAGTTGGGCCTTGGCAGTCTACCGGCCGAGGCACGCCATGGGAACAAAGGGAATTTGGAGAGAAAGCAGCCAGGTGCGCTGGTGGGTAAACTTACTCCCATTTTCATCGGCAGAGGGGGACCGGGACCCCCCACGGCTGCGAGCAGTCTGCCTGCAGCTTGAGGCGACAGCAGCTTTTAGCTCTGCCCGGAGACGGAACAGCACCGGAGCCCTGAGCCCACCCGGAACCGTCCTGGCGTAATCCGGAACCCGGAGCCCGGAGCCTCCGTCGGCGTAACTAAAACGATATCTCCGACGCCGAGCTGCATTCTCATCTGCTGGCAAGCCCCGGCTCAATGCACACGTGCATCCGTGTGCAGCTCTTCTGTGCTTTCGTGCAGTCTCACTTGTGTGGAGCCCAAGCTGTGCCACTCCACGCATCTCCAAGCGGTACTCATGGGCCTCGCACTGCAGAGAGTACAAGAAGGTCCTCGAAGCCCTCTGGCATAGCACCGACTCCGGCCCTGTTGGCAACCGAACCTTCCACGAAGCATGGTGAAGCTTGCGTGCCAGACACGAGTATCAGTAGCATCCGGACTAGTTGGGCGCAGTGCTGGTGAAGCCTCAATCCAAAGTACCTAGCCGCAGCCCCCAGCCTAATATGGCAGGATCGTGCTGTGGCACCTCGGTTAGTGGAGGGCCTCCGAGCGGTGCACGTGAAGCAGGCAGGGTAAAGCGGGCGCAGACAGGGATTGCGTGAACTCAACTGTAACCTATCAAGGGTTCAGGGCTAGGGCTTTGGTATCCTGACGCAAGACATTTCAATTGTTCGGGTTTACGTGCTCTGGCCCCGGCATGACCGGCCCGGTGGATTGCAGCTTGGCTTCCGGTTTCGGACCATCTTTGGCGCTCTTTGCGCATAAGCTGATGTGAGATACTGCCGGGCGCAGCATGCATCACTTGGCAAGCAATTTCCAGTCGCAAGCTGCAGGCTGCCGGTTCCGTTGCTTTTGTTGATTCAAAGTGACGTAATCCCAGCCTTCCCGGCATTTCCCGGCGACGGAGAACTTTTTGATGCCAGGGGCCGGCCAGGTCCGGCCAGATTCGGTGTAAAGGGGACCAGAATGAAGCGGGCCTCGAGCTAGGTGGTCTGCGGCGCGAACTTCTCTGGAGCCGTTACAGAGAGCGGCGAGGTCTACATGTGGGGCTATGGCAAGGCACCACGAAGTTTGCGTTCTTGGATGAGCAGTGCAAAAGAATTTCTCATCATCGAGACTTCCCAATGCTCCATCGGCTCAAACGCGTAAACTGGCTCACTAGTCGTCTGCAGACATCGCCTGGTATTGCCGAGTGTGAGCGTTGGGCGCCGCAATTTTGGTCTGTCGGTCAGCTCGCAGGGCTCCGAGCGGTCAGGTCCGTCGTTCAAGCCAACTTCCTCTGAAAACCTAGAACCTCTGTGGGAGGATGGTCAGCTCGGCCATGGCGAAACCAAGGAGCTTCAGCTCTATCTTCGGTCGCATGCGGGTTCAGCTTCAGTTGTTGAGTGTGCTGCCTGTGCCACTGCCTTAAGGGCCCTGAGGACTGATTTGACATGGTTTAAAGTTCTCTCTCACAGTCACAGCCTCAGCTCCAGCCGCTGCACATGCGACTCGCAGGATGTACACATGCCTCGGGCTCTTCGATCTTTGCAGTCGAAAGAGCCTCTGCTGCCTTTGAGTCTCCAGAGTGGAAGGCAGATCTTCAGCAACGGCTGGGCCTACATAGGGCCAAGAGGACTCCTGCAAAGTTTGAGGCTCGAAAGGACCCCATAGCCCGGATGCAAGAGAAGACCTTTGAGCTCGCAGCCTTCCATTTTAGCCTTGACACAGTCTTTGAAACACCAAAACCTGAAACCATGCAAGCCCCATCCCAGACATCCTGGGATAGCGAAGGTCATCCGCAGCGTCTCCTGCGGGGAGCATCATGTGGGGGCTGTCTCGGAAGGAGGGGCGCTCTTCACCTGGGGTCGAGGCCCATCCAACGCACCGGCTTGGAATGCAGTGTGTAGGGTAGGTTTCAGATGAAAGAAGACCCCCATGGTGTCTGGCTGTGTGGAGAGCTTCCATGTCTGTCCCGTTTCATGGGGAGGCTTTCGTGGAAAGAGTTGGCAGGGCCATTACTTACTCCAGCATACGTGGAAAAGTTGGACCTGGCAGCTTCTTCCAAGTTTTGGTCATATTTTGGTTGTTTTTTTGCATTACGCCCAGAGTATCCCGGAGAAAAGGCTGTCAGGGCTAACTTTTTGGAACTGGTATGCTGCAGAAAGTTTCCAAACTATGCAGAGCATTCTCTGGAAAATGTTGGACAGGCCAACAGATTTCGCACCAAAAAGTTGGCTCTGCCGACTTGTTCCGGAACTTCCAAAATTCCACCGCTTTTCAAACTATAGAGCGGGATTCGTGGAATAAGTTGGCATTGCCGACGTTTTGGCACTCTAGTAATTACACAAAAAAGTTGCGACCACCTTTTTCTTGCATTTGCACATTTTTCCAAACTATACCAGGAGGATTTTGTCGAAAAAGCTGGCAGGGCCGAACTCTTCGCGCTCAATCCAAGAAACCTCAATCCGCAGTGCACGACGCCGCGGAAATTTTGTGAGATACGGTTCCAGGCCGACTGTTTGTGGAGCATGGAAACCCGCAAATGCTGGCGTGGTCAACTTTTGACTTTCATAAATTCCTGTGGCCATTAATTGGGATAGTTACCAAAAATTTGGCAACTGCTGGCAGGCTAATTCTTGGCAGCCACAAAATTGGCCCTGCCAGCTGTTTCCGTGCAGTCCGCATGCATGCACTAGCTAAGTACTTAGCCTCAGCCTCACTCAGTGTTTTCCCACTGACTTTCGCAGCGAGGTATTTTGAAGGGGTGCTTCTAGATGGTACGTCTTGACAATCAGCCGGATGTGCTAGATTGCATCCTTTGCCTGAGGTAACTGAGGTAAGGCGGTTCCAGCCGTGCACGCGTGCAGGGAAATCTTGATGTTTGGGGTTCGGGGATGCTGACTGACGGTCGTGTGCCAAACCTGTCCCAAGCACCTCGACGCTGTTGTTTGATGTTTCCGGATGTCCACATGGCGGAGCCCACCTATTATCCCAAGCACTCGCAAAAAGATGCAACAAGAGCAGCAGACAGACTGCCCCGAGAGCTTCGGGAGAGGATTTCTCTGGCCCACCGCAAGGCCAAAACGGTCGCCTTGGACACGGCTCCACAGACAACGAGCTGCTTCCGAAGGCTGTGGAATTTGAATGTTGCGGGCAGTTGGGCAATTCTGCTCTCAGTGAAATGTTGTGGCAGCTCACATCCAAGCTGCAATGTTCAGGTTCCTGGATTGATCTAACAGCCTCGGAGGACACCCCAAGTCTAGCTTTGGTCTCCTTCTTCCTTCCGCTCGTGAGTTCAATGAGTTGGCATGCAGAGCCTTTCCGTCTTGCCCATGCCTATAGACACGAGCACTTCCACGTGCTCGTTTGAGTGCACATGTATGCAAAGATGAATGCTAGTGTAAACACAGAGTTTTTGGGGTGTACTCGATAAGGTATTCCTTAGGATATTCCATTAAGGTTTGTACACAGGTTATTCTATAAAGTATGTTATAAGGGTTTCGTCTAGGTTCTTGATTTCTGGCATAGCAAAATTTTACTCAATAAGCTAAAAGTCAGTGGGGAATTCTCAGACCTTGGGCTCGGACAGATTTTCCCTATGTAATCTTATAGAGCATAATATAGAGGTTCTTCTTTAAGGGCATTCTGCACGGCATTCCAGATGGTATTCTACTGTATATAGTGTAGCTGCATGCGCAACAGTAGCATCGAAGCAATTGCGTGCGAAGTCATGTGCATTGCAGCTGTGCTCAGTCCCGCGCGTGTCAGCACTCACATGGTCTGAATGCTAACACGCTTGCTGGGAGAGGCCGTGGAGTTGTTGAGCGGTCATGCCGTTGCATCCGTGGCCTGCGGCGAATTCCACACGGCACCCTGTAAGGAATAGGTTTCGTTTTCTTAGACTTACCATCATCCAGATGCTACAGTGGATTGTTGGTCAGGCATGACCTTGATTCCGATTTGCCGTTGCTCATTTCGGTGTTCCCTTAAACTTTTACTGGAGCCCGAACTCGAGCTTCCTCTCGGCCCGAGGCTTTAAGCACTCTACCTCAATGTGCACCTTATGCCAGCACTGTCCTGTGCCCAAGGCATGCGTTCTCCAATCTGCCCCGCACGCAACTTTCCTTTTGTGTATGGCAGCGCGAGGGTCTTCTTCGACAGGTTGGGTTCGGTTCTGGGGTATTGGGGTGGAGTCCTACCGAGTCGCAGATGCTTGTGACCCATTCACTTTTGGTTATTTTGCCTTTCGCCTAACAACCCACGAGGTTCGACAGAGCCACGGCACAATATCCGACTGCAGATTGTTGTCTCAGCACATGAACTGATCCCTGGAGGCGGCCAGCTGATGGAAGATTACAGAACAGATAGCGCCCATATGGACCGTCGTAGCTATGTTTACAGACATGCAAGGCCTAGAGACCCTGTGTACAAGCTGAGAATTTTCGTTTGACAAGTTGTGACATTTGTGCGTGCATGCATGCACATTTGCATGTATGTGTGTGTGTCTATGTACGTTTATATATATATATATATGTATGTATGTATGTATGTACGTATGTATGTGTGTATGTACGTATGTATGTGCATGTATCTTTGTATGTGTACATGTGCCGCGTGTGCTTGATTCAATCTGTGTGTGGTGTATGTAGTGTGTGATGTGTACATGTTGAGGTAAGTCGACAAGTTGCGTTATGTCGTGGTCCGTGTGCTTACTATGCTCTGCTACGGCATTCCATGCCATGCTGTGCTAGGCTGCTGCGTGCTATGCTGTGCTGTGCTCTGCCAAGCTTTGCTATGTTCTGTTCTGTTGTGTTTTTAAATGTGATTCTGTGTCATGTTCAGTTCTTTGCTGTTCTGCATTTGTTCGCGCATGTCATGTTTATGATCTGCTGCATGTGTAGCATGCACTTCAGTTTATACTGCTTATAAATAACTCCCCCCTCCCCGCTCCGAAATACTTAGCACCCACTGAGCGAGCAGGAAAACTGTCAAATACTCCACCCCTTCTTTCTCCATCTCCCAACCTTAAATATTTTTCGGGAGACATTCGGGCCGGGGATGCAGCCAAAAGACGACTTTGAATTAGGCAAGACTACCACTCGTTTGTCGCCGTAGGGGGTCTCAGGGTTGAGTGTGGGGCTGGCTTCTGTGCCTTTTCTTTCTGCGGGAATCCTTTGCAGGCCTTGTGCTTTCGGTCTGACCAAGATGCAAAAACTGAGGCCTCCTCCTTCTGTCACATAGAAATGCGCACAAATGCATAAGCAGGATGCTCACCGAGATTTATCTATTTGCATGGTCTGCATGCCTTTTTGTGCACTCAGATATGCACACCTCACATCGACATAGTTTCCGTTCTTGTCTCTCCATTTCGGAGCTGCCGTGAAGGAAGGGTTAGCCGCAAGACCGTCGCAAAGACGAGTACAACATCACGAGAGCGTTCATAGCCTTTCTGTTCCGCGCGTTTAAGATCTTTGTGCTTGTTCTGTGGAGGTCAGATACAGACGCAGCAGTTGATGAGTCCGAGTCCCTCTGTGGGCTTCTCGGTGCAGCATCCCTCTTCGCTTAGGTCTACACCTGGGGCCTCGGCCTCTCTGGCCGCTTGGGCCACGGCGACGAAGCCGACAGGCCAGTGTGGTCGAACCGTCTCTTTCTTGAGGTTTTTTTACACGCTGGGCTTTAGGGTCCCGGGCCCGGTAAAGTTTTGCTACGGTTGGCGGGGGCTTGGGTCCTTTGGTAGGGTGGTGGTGGTGGTGGTGGTGGTGGTGGTGCTGGTTGTAGTACTGCTACCACTTCTGCTACTACGACTACTACGTTGACGACGGCGGCTACCACTTGTCTTGTTGCGGCTCTTTAGGGCGAAGGGAAGCAGCGTTTGACCAACTTCTGAAAGTCTACACCGCTCAAACAGGTAGAGTTTCAGTCTAAGCCACTTGCTGCCATTCGGCTTGTTAACCACTGTTTTGCCTCGCCCAAGCGTGCTGGGGAGGGCTGGTCGTCGTGATCGTGGAGGTCCGGGGGTTCCTGGTCGTCGCTATCGTGGTGGTAGACCTGGTGGTCCTGCCCGTCATGTCGCTCGTGGTCGTCGTTGTCATCCTGGTCTTCTTGCAACGGACCAACAGACTTGTGTCGAAACTCGGAAAGTGTTTTCTGTTAGCACTGCCATCTGAATTCTAGGTGTTCTTGTTGCCGTTTTGGTGCCGGTAGAGGACTCTGACGTTGCCAGCCCGAGCCCAACAATCGCTGTATGACTAGATACATGGGGCGGGGGGGGGGGATTTCTTTGTCTCCCGTGAAACCGAAGAAAAAGATGACCAAAGGGAAGAGATAAGCACAAAAATCCGACGTGCTGCATCCCGGGAGACGGGATCAGAAGGGCAGGGATGAGAGAGTGTGGTCGGGGAACTCTGGGGCGCCGAGCTGAGGGAGACTTCCATGTCGACCCTAGTATTAGCCAAAAACTAGAGTTGGCTTGTTGCGAGTGGCATTAGTAGGGTTGCGCGGCTGGGAATCGCGTGGGAGGACTGGCTCTCAAGTCACTTACATGGCCGAGCATTCTCAACTGTTCCTAGCCGAGACATTGGCATATTGCACTGGTACATCTGAATTGTCGAATCTGTGCCCTGGAGCCGCTGGCATCATGAGGGCTGAGAATGGCTGAGACAGAAGGCGTCACAACATGTCTCGAAGGTACTCGCCAACCTTCGTGGAAGCCTTTACCGGGATGCAGGTTGGCACGGAAAGATTGTTTTTCTGGTTGTTTGGATCCGCCTAGGGTTTCCAGCAAATACGTCAGCAAGAGAAACACCTGGGCGTTGAGCATAGACAGCCTTCAACAACCAACAGCCAGCCGACTCCGCTTCTGTCATCTACAGGGGTGGCTACCGCGTGGTCAGCGGGATGCGCTGGATGACAGTGCTGTAGGGGGATGAGTGTGTGTGTGTGTGTGCTAAGTGTCTAGTGGAGGTGGGTTTAAGTTCCTTGCCCCTGCAGATCTTTTCTTTGGCTTGCGGCGGCCACCATACAGCAGCAGTGGGCGAGCAGTGCCAGGCCTGCCGGGCTGTTGCCAGTGACTTGAGTATTCGTTCTGCTGAATCTCAGTGCTCACATTGGATGTGATGCACACGCGCAGGTCGGAATGCGATTTCTTAGTGTTATTTGGGCCGCCCCACTTAGTTGCTAAATCATTTTTCCAGCTGTTGACAGCGACCGCAGGCAGGACTGCCAGCATCAAACCAACAGATCCGTCGGTGCGTTTTTTTTTCAGGTGATGACCTGGGGAGGAGGACCCTGGCTGCATTGCGGTTCCGCATTTGCACCCCGGCCGTGCAAGCCGGAGCAGAGACTTCAAAAACGCGAACGAATAGTTTCCAGCAAGAAACCGCTAAATGGGTTGACCTGGCTGACCAAATAGCGAAAGCCTGTGGCAGGAGCCTTCGGCAAGCTGGGCCACGGGAATCGCCTCGCCCAAACCACCCCCAAGGTGCATTAATATTAAGGATGTCAGTTGGTCATGCAACGATAGATTACATGACCCAGCTGGCAGGGTGACCATTGTGTGCGGCGATGGAGATAGAACATTGTTGTGCCCAGGACTGCGAGCTATATAGTACGGTTGGAAATAAGAACACGTGTTTTCAGTGACCTCATGACAGTGATAGTTTTTCTTCCTCCTATTCCCAACTCCAACTCCTGCTTCTGGCAGTCAGTAATTGCAGCGGATATTTGGTGTTGGCATTTCTGAGGTTGTGTTTGACAGCGCACCTGTAAGTGAACCGGCATACAGGGTTAACGACACGTCGAACCTACTTCTGCAGACCTTGCCAGGCTTGTCCGAGAGTGAGTGTCAAAAAATTGCAGCGGCGGAAAGGGGGGAGGCGTGAGGCGGCGGGCAGCCGTCCTTTGCATGCAGCGTAGAGTTTGTCATTACAAATGGCAGCAGCAAGTCGAAACAGCGGGGACTGGACCAACAGTGACGTGCACGGACTCAAGTTCAAGCAGAAGGTGCAAGCTGTAAACGCGAATAGCTTTAGGTCTTCGCAAGGCCGCGCTCGAAACCCGGCCTTTGTGAGTTGGGTGACATGACCATGATTCTAGCAGGTGGTCATCGCGCTGCAAGGCCGGGTGGGAGATGCACTGCATGGCGTCGTAGGTCGTAGGTTTTCCTTGTTCATGCGTGGTCCCTGAACTGTGATTTACCAAGGTGTCCCCACGCATTGTTTCTAGGAATTCGCGAGCCTTCATCCTCGTCGAAGGTCCAGGACGTACACGACGTACAGAAACTAATTGTGAGCCTTGGGCCTTGAATGGCCTTGACTGGCTTTGAGGCAAGCGTGTGGTACAAGTCGCACTAGGTGCTCGGCTTGATGTTAGGGCCTGTTTGACTGGCATGCTGGATTTTATTGCCGAGCACGGTCGGGGGATTTTCCTCGGCCTTTCGGAGCTTGGCCGGATACGTGGCTGAATGAAGTCTGCCCAGCATAACGGCAAGTATGTTCACAGTGACCGAAGCTTGCCCTCTATGTGGCGCGGAGACGTGAGGTATCACTGGAGTCTAAACAGTAAAGCCTCAACATCAAAAGCAGAAACGATATCTGCAGACTTCGCTTCTTTCTCCCACATCCCTGGACCGTGAAGCTGAATTCCGAACATGCTGACAACCGAGGACCTCACCACTCAGCTGCCTTGACCCAACGTGGTGAAGTTTTCACCTGGGGCCAGGCAGCGACCCACTCACTCATGTTCGGAGTTGTAGTATCGATATTGGTTGTGCTGCGGATGCAACATCAAGTGCGGTTCTGTGTCAGAGTCTTGGGCAGCCCAACGTAGGCACGCCGCAGCCCCATACCCATAGATATCATGTCAGTCAGTAATTAAGCTCCAACAGATGTTTGAAGATGGTTGCGATGCATACCTTGTACGACACTGCTTGTTTGTATACATAGCGGGACCCATGACACCGTCAGGACCGTCAGGTATTTAACACGACAGGCGGCCCCGCTGAATCCTTCACACAGGTAGTGTGAACAAACACGTGTTTCCCATTTAGACATCCGCTTTTATTCAGCAGTTCACGGAGCCAGCTTGATGTCATCGGTTCGGCTGTCAATGTTTGCGAGCGATTGAAAGCTTCACCTGAACCACTGAAGCGAGAAGCCGAAGCCGAAGAGCTGAATCTGGCCTGCAGAAGAAACATGCGACATGCGGACGCATGCTTCGCTCTTGTCGAGGCTGGTCGCCTCGGACATGCTTCGCAGGGAGCCGAGGTTGATGCTACTCGGAGCAAGTCCGAAGCCGCAGGGGGTGTTTCAGAGGTGCCCCCCCCCCCCGCAGTTCTCGGAGAATTTGGGAGAGTCTGGCTGATACAGTATAGTATGTGTTGCGGTTGCGTGCAGGAGGTCGTCTCCACATTCGGGGGGTGGGGGGGGAGGGCGCGGGGTTGTGAGTTCGGGCAAGCCCCACTGCTGTAGATATTTGGAATTCGTCCGTGCCGGACGAAGGGCAGGACCTTACAATTTCAGACTTACAATTTCAAACTAGTTGAGAGTGCCGTTATAAGCATGCACAAGCAGCAGCAGCAACTGGAGGAGGAAGAAGAAGAGCAGCGGTGGTAGCCATAGTGGTGCGTGCTACTTCGACAAAGGATGACAACTTTGACAACAGACCATGATGGTTGTATGTCAGTGGCTTTTCTCACCGTTGCGACAGACTTGTTAAGGCTTATTGTGCATACTGTGTGCGTTTTCACGGCTGAGTGTATAAGGCTTTAGCAAAAAAGGAGTTCCACGCTGTTCCACGCTTTCGAGGTGTCGTACATAGCGAACGCGTGTCCGTGCGCCCAGCCACCGCAGCAAAGGAGATGCTGCCGCGTCCCGTGGCTGCATTGTCCCACGTGGCCGTCGCGCAGATCTCCTGCTTCCTGGACTTGATTTGGTCTGCGGTTGTTTCCTTTGGATATTGGCAGGTGTACTATTTCATCCTGGTAACAATGGAACGACATGGGAGCCTCCATGAACTGACAAAAATGCCATTTCAGAGCAAAGGCTTCGGAAAGAAGGCTTCGCAGCATGAGGCAAATGCTGGTGACCAAGGTGGCCACAGTCACTGTGCAGTGGTCACGGAGACTGGAGACGTTTGGGCGTGGGGAAGTGCCAGGATCTGTGGGGCAAGTGTCCCCAGTCATTTGAATCAGAGTGGAGAGTCCCAAGTCCTATTCAGGTCGAGTAGGGAAGGTAAACAGGTCAAACCTGCAACCTTCAAAACATTCCGGGAAGGACCTACGGCCACACGGAGCAGGGCGCCTATCCCAATGTTCCCACCATGATCAAGGCGTGGACTTGGCACAATTCCGAGATGTGAAATCAGAAAAAGACACAGTCCACACCGGTCAGAGGCCAACTGCGGCTCTTACACCAGTGAATCGTTTCAGCCCCAGCGTCATTAGTGGAGTCACCACGAGCAACTAGACGATGCGGCTCTTACACCAATGAATCGTTTCAGGCCCCATGAAAGCATCATTAGTGGAGTCACCACGAGCAACTAGACGAAACCATCTTGAAGAACGTAGTCGTTTCGGTTGTTGGTTGTTGCAGCGATTTGCCGCTCTTCCTGTGGCACTGGTGCAGATTGCCCGCTGGCTGCAGAGGGTCTTCTGGTGAAATGACAAATCGCCCTGCAAGCAGCAACATGTCTTCTGGCGAAGGTGCTCACGGGGAAGGCCATAGTGCACGTGGCATGCGGGGTGCCAGAGGCTCAGGCATCAACAGGGTGTGGCCAAAGTTGCGACTCGGTGCACACCGCGTCGTCTGAGTTCATCACAACAAAGCTATAGCATGCATGAGCGAGGCTTTGAAGCTGCTGCGAGTCTCCTACTTTGGCAGTCATAGCTTCCTAAACCTGCAAATCCTGGCTCAAGCCGGACAGCACTGCTTCTTCTCACTTTTTGCGATCCTCACAATGGACGTGGATTACGATGACGAGGTTGCCGAGGAGGGTGCACGCCCTGCCGGGCGACGGATGAAGGGTCGCGGCGGTGAGGAGGACGATCGTTATGCGGGCAAGGCCGGAAAGTTCGAGAGGCTAGACGATGACGATGACGAGACAGGGGCCGCACGATCCATCGAGGGCTGGGTCGTAATTGTCTCCGGCGTCCACGAGGAGGCACAGGAAGACGACATATTCGAGGCCTTCTCGGAGTACGGAGACATCAAGAACTTGCACCTCAACCTGGATCGCCGCACCGGCTTCGTCAAGGGCTACGCCTTCATTGAATACGAGAACAAGCAAGAAGCAGATGCAGCCATCAAGGCCATGGATGGGAACACGCTCTTGGACCACAAGCTAGACGTTAGCTGGGCGTTTGCGAAGCCGGGCAGCAAGAAGAAGCGCCGATGAGGCGAAGACAGCGCAGTCCTTCCAGGTGCTGCGGAGCCTCGACTTGTTGCGGTCGAGTCCGAGTGTGTTCTGGCCCAAACTAGGGAATCCTGACGGATCCTTAAAGCTTTTTACATCAGAATCTATCGAGTCACTAGTTACTTGCTGCAGTGTTGAAATTGAGAACATTGCTTACATCACGGCTTAGACGGACGCGTTTGATGCAAGGATCCGCTTCCGCATTGCTCGGATGCATGTGATGGAGTGGCGTGGCCATTTTGACAAGTTGAAGGTTACCCTGTAGTCGAGTCTGATTCTCACGTGACTGGCCTTGTAGATACCGAAGTGGCCAATTGACCGGCCAGCCGCTCCCGCCCTATAAACTGCACAGGCACCCAGACTGAGATCATGTGCGCCTCACAGAAAATTGGCGCGGCGAAGTTTGTCCTGTGGTTGAGCAGGTGCTGAAGATCTCTTCCAGGAAAGCCCGTAAACAGAGTCTGACGTGACCACTTTGGATTGAATGCAATCGGAAAGCTGCCTTTGCGTGTGCGCGGGTGTATGAGGTGGTAAACATTACTGCATGTTCGCAATCTTGGACTTAAATAACGTGCAGAGAGCAGACGTAGCGGTGGTAGCAGTGGTTGTGGTGGTGGTGGTGGTGGTTGGGGGAACTATTGTTACTACTATGAGGATGAAGATTGGTAGTCGGTAGTGGCTGATGGATGTGGTGGCGGTGGCAGTGGCAGGGGCAGGGACAGGGGCAGGGGTAGTGGTCGTGGTAGTGGTAGTTCGGTAGTCGTAGTAGTAGCATCAGGAGGAGTAGTCCTAGTAGCAGTAGTAGTCGTCGTCGTAGTCGCAGTCGGGGCATGCTTCGTGATACATGCACTGGTGCAACACCCCTCAAACCTCACGGGCAGATTACTACCCCTGAAATCCAAACGAACCGAAAGAAGGAGGAATCCGTGGAGCTCGTCTTCGCGAGCATAAGGCTAGATCACCACGAATGGCCACCAGAGGGAAAAACGAAGTGGCCACTAGCTCCCAAGCAACCAATCATGGCAGGGTCGTGAGCAGAGGGTCCACAGATAATGCGAGGTGGGTCCCGACCAGAGCGACAGGTAACGAAGACTTCCATGAGGGGCCCAGATACGAAGCATCAATAAAGATCTCACGGAGTCTCGGGTAGCCTCACCCTGCTGTATCGGGATCACGCGAGAAGAAAGAAAGAGCCTTCAGAGGCCTCGCCGGAAAGAAAAGGGTCATAAGAGACCTAGTCGGAGTTGGTCACGCTGTTGGGTCAAAAACATAACAGTAGTAGTCGTAGTGGTAGTGGGAGTGGCAGTGGCAGCAGTCGTCGTCGTTGTAGCCGTGGTGGTGGTCGTCGTCGTAGTAAGGAGAGCAGTTTCCCTTAGTGCCTTAGTTTTCTATTGTATTTAAATCATGCACTGTTTTTCTGCGCAGCATATCTTCACGCTCTTGCGTCCAGCAGACATTCACCTGCGTGGTTTGTTATCACCGAGGTCGCACAACATCGCGCTGTCCGACTACCGTCGTTTGCAAGCACGTGCCGGTCACCGTGGACACTGAGACGCAAACGGTGGCTTCAGGGTGCAGACCGTTTCTGACTTCTTTTTTCGCAGCTTATGTGCTGGCCCACTTACTTGCTGAGATGGTCAGATTAGTCAAGCTGGTCTCGCGATTCCACAAAGGCAGCCGGGAGCGTTCGGATGGCGAAGATCGACTCCGAAGCACACCAGAAGGAAAGAAGGAGGTCCCCGCAAGCAGCGGGCGGGGCTCTCTAAGTTCGTCGTTGCCTCGTTGTTCCAATCGCTCTTGCTTGTTTCAGGGTCTTGAGCCACGGCCTGCGGTGACGCTGAAGGGCCTCGTGGTGGACGCAACGGAGATTTGCCTGCATCAGCAGGGTGCTGTCTAGTTCCATCGTTTCAAGCAGTACGCGGCCGTCATACTCGCATCAGAGGCCGCACCGACACAAACCGAGCCAAAAATGGATTCGGTTAGTGTGGAGAGTTTAGTCTAGGTTTTCCTCAGTCTCGCGAGTGACAAGGCCCTAGAGCCCTGGAAGTTTCGGCCCGGAGCACTGCCTCCCGTCGGATTGCGACTGACACGGTGTTGGAATTCCAAGCCAGGGTCAGAAGCCCCAAGCCCCCTACTACTACTACTACTCCTCCTCCTCCTCCTTCTCCTACTACTACTACTACTACTACTACTACTACTACTACTACTACTACTACTACGGCTACTACATTTTCTCAACAAAAGCAACAGTTCGCCCAGATGCAGAAAGTGCCTTGGGACGAGGGCGGATCCGAGATGCTGGATGGCAATTTATGTAGGTTTTATGATATTATAGTACCCTTATAGTAACCCTTACAGACCCCTTATAAAGGGAACCCTACCATTCCCTAATGTTTTATGTCTTGAGCACTATAGTTACTCATAACTCGTTTCGTGATGCTGGGATCCTGTTGTTCTCCTATTATCGGCTAGGTAGGTCTGGAATAGGAGGGTCACACTACGGCATGAGATCAGCATGCTCTTTTGACTTTTGATCACCACGTTGATCCGTGGCCATTTTGGGTCGAGACGATCGTCTCGATCCGCGAAGGATCTTTTTGTCGATCAGGTGAGGTCTAGGGCCTGGGTAGCTTTCGCTCGAGCTATGGCTGGTTGGGGTCAAGACGCCTGGGGTCAGCAGCAGGCTGATCAGCCTCAGCCCTATGCTGGTTACCCTAATCAACCTAGGGGCCAGTGGGGAGGTCAGAACCAGCACGATCGCAGAGAGAGGCGCCAACGCCGCGATCGTGGTGGCGATCGCTTCCCAAATGCTGCTCACAACCCCTACGAGGTTCGTCTCCCCCCGCACATTGAGTCGATCGCTACCTGTGAGGATGACGATCGCAAGACCTCGATCATCATAGTCGACACCAGAGACGACAGGATCGTCTCGCCGTGGCGGTCGCACATACTCTGTGGGCCCTCAGGGCGTGGTCGTGGCTGGAGATCATGCCCGCTCGAGGTTTGAGCTCCGAGTGTGCAGCCGCTCTTCAGAGGATGCGGTCGGAAATGACGCCGATCGGCTGGAGTTCCGCTATCGGGATGCCAACAATCGCATGGACTTGAAGTGCGCTCGCACTTCGGTCCCGGCTACGTGGTTGACGGTCTCCCACATCAGCGGGCCTACGCTCATTCAGGCCATCACCCGGTGCCGTGATCAGCGGGCACGGGTGGAAGGGCCTGAACAGACTGAGCAGTTCGCTCAGCTGGCGGCCGCTCACCAAAACTGGTGGCACAACGCTCTCACCACGGACTATGCCCATATCGGCGTGCTGGTCTCGTTCGTGGGCGGCCTTGATCATGGCAACTTCCACGTTCAGTGCGAGAGCAAGCTCTACGTGATGCAGGGGGCCGTGGTCTCTAGGGCGGCGCTCGCCGAGATGACCCACACTCAGGAGTCGGCCTCTCCGCTGCCGTTCGGCCCGCCCGCTCTTTCTCAAGGGGCTTGGCGGCAGGCAGCGGTCAGCTCTGACACGGCCGTGCCGGAGACTTCGCAGATTGCCGTTCGCAATCGCAATCGGGCGGAGATGGAATCCCGGGCGCTCGCCCCCGAAGATCGACCACCTGCTCAGCCGGTGGACTACGATCAGAACGATGAGGAGGGCACCCGTGGGCACATGATCGATGCTGCCAGGGACGATGCTCGGCAAGATCGTTCCTTTGCCCGCTCGACGGCAAAGCTCACACCAGCGCAGTTCGCCGAGCTGGCTGACTCGTACCACAACCCTGCTGGTCACACTACCTCTTCGGCGGCAGCTCAGTCTTCCACGGTCGTGGTTGAAGAGGCCGAGCCGGAGAACTTGCTGGCTCCAGCAGGTGAGCCGACCTCGTTCAGGCCGCACCGCACGCCATGATCGAGGCAGATCTCAGAGGTGCTCACCCGTTTTGATCCAAGGGTGTTCACCCCAGGAGGCCGTGAAGGCGATTTAAGTTCTCGCTCGCATTTTGGAGCCACGACTGCTCCCGCTCGGGCAAAAGTTTCCAGGGATGCATCCGGATGCGATCAGCAGTTCTGCACATGTTTTCACTGTTGATGTCTCTCTCTCTCTCTCTCTCTCTCTCTCTCTCTCTCCCCTTTCTCAGTGCAACATGTTCACCGTGCTCGGCATTCATGTCGTTCGTCGTTCGTCGTGCCGTTCGGTTGGCCGGGAAGGTTGGTCGGGGCACTGCAACGACGTTGCTCATGATGCCTTCCTCGAGTTTCTTCTTTCGCTAGTTTTGGCTCGGCAGGATGTTGCGGGAAGCAGCGCCAGCCGATCGCTGGACAGCGAAGATCCTTGCTTACCCATGTTTCGACCCTGGGTTTCGCCAGGCGATCGTGGCGACCCGGCTGGCAGAGATCCCTTTTGTCCTTTCAATGGATGCCGGGACGCCTGAGCAGTTCGCCGCGGTGTCTCTCGACTGGACGGCCAGCTCGGCCAAGACGGAGCACGACCTCCTGGCTCCGAGGACCCAAATGCTCGAACAGTACTGGGTCTTCGTGAAGGCCGCGGAATCGCTCTTTGTCGAGTCTCTCGGCTACCAGATGGGCTTTGCTCGCTGCTCGAAAGTGCCCCCAAAAAGTTCTGCAAAGTCGATCGCACACTTTCAACGGGAGATGGCCATCCGAGCTCTAGCTGCACCAGTTCTGGCTCCTTCGGCTAAATCGAGGCTGCCGGCAAGCTCTTCTTCTCCCTCGGCAACTCCATTGCTCGACTTGGAGAACGCCGAGAAACAGAAATGGGCTAAGCGCTTGAAGGCGATCGCTGATCGGGCCGGCGAACACGCTCGGCCCGAAGGAGTCCACGATGCTGAGGGGATCCTCTCGGAAGAGGAACGCGCTCGCCTTCGGCTGTTGGTTTTCACCTCGGGGGCGCCTTCTACCATGGCAAACCACATTCGTAGGTTCGAGAAGTTCGAATTGTGGGCTCGGCACGTGCCGCTCCCCCTCTACCCCATCTCGGACGACAAGATCCTGAAGTATGCCATGGAGCTCGACTCAAGGGAGTGCGGCCCGACTGTTCTTCCTTCGCTCCGCATGGCTCTTAAATGGGTGGCTTTTCGGATTAACCTCAAGCTCCCTTCGATCGAGACAGCGGAGCTAAAGGCGCTCGAGAAGGAGATCTTCACACAGCGAGGGCGGCCGCTGAAGGAAGCGATCGCTTTCCCGCTCGAGCTGGTCCAGGCTATGGAGCGCTTTGTCGCTAACGAAGCTCACCCTGTACCGGCTCGGGTGTTCCTCTGGTGGGTCCTCTGCGTGATCTTCGCGTCGCTCCGCTTTGACGACGCGATCCATGTGAAGCCCCACGAGCTAGAGGTCAAGCCTGACGGTCTGTTCGGGATCTCCTGGCAGACCAAGACTGAGCGGAAGCGGCGCGGCACCAAGTTCATGGTCCCCGACGTTGCATTTTCTAAAGTGGCTTGGTTCAAGATCGGGAAGGACTTGTTCGAGTCGCAGTTCCCGCTCGTGGAACGCGACTTCTGGATCCCCGAGCTCGACACCAAGGAGCGCTGGCGCCAGACTCCCCCTGATTACGCTCGCTCTCTTCAGTGGCTCCACCAGCTGGTTTGGCTCGCGGGGCAGGAGAGTGCGGTCGCGAGGGAGTTCCTGGACAAGGTCACCGATCTTACGTGGCACTCAGCTCGAGTAACTATGCTTGATCTGGCCGTCCATTGTGAACGATCGGAACAAGAGATCGGGGTTCAGGCGAACTGGAAGAACCCCGGCCCGCTCGTCCTCAAGTACACTCGCTCGAGGTCTTCTCTTCCAGCGAAAATGATCAAAGAGTTGGTGCAGGAGGTCTCGGGCGAGTTCGTGCCCCTCTGTGCTCAAGAGGATGACACGATCGAGGACGCAGAGGACAGGGATCTTTCATTGACTGAGTTCTTTGTCAAAGTCCCGGTCAAGGGCTCTAGTTACGACTATCGTTTTCATGTGTGTTCAGCAGACTCTGTGGAAGAGATCGCATGCAAATGCGCGATCACGCCCGAATTTACACACATCGGGTCTGTTCTGCCCGACCCTAAGCTCTTTTGCAAACTGTGCGCTAAGGCTCGGCCGGACGTGGCTCTCGCCTTTAAGGTCTAAAATTCTGTGCAGTGCTGCGCCTGCTCGCGCCTTGTCGCATTTGAGAAAACTCTGTTGAGCTTGCTCAAGCTTTGATTGAGGCTCTTTTGCGTTGTTCCGCCATGGTCGACCGCACGGTCTACCCGGACAAGGACAAGACGCCCGAGCTCGCCTTACGCCAGATCTTCGGACGGCAGAAGCTCCCCGAAAACTTATGCCTTCTCATGGCGAATAAAGGCATGCTCTCCGTCGAGCGTATGTCCATGCTCGGGGACTCCATCGCGTCGGTTAAGGCGACGCTCCGGGCTATCGTTGGAGACGACACGCAGTTCGGGGCCGATGGGCCGGCACAGGAGCTCTCGCTCACTCTCCTGACCGCGATCTGGAAGTCAGCCTCAGTTCTGCAAGAACACGTTGCCTCTCGACGGGCCAAGATGGAGGAGGATCCGTCCAAAATACCAGAGATTCCTGGTGAAGATCATGCTGAATTTCGTGAGCTCTTTGTCACTCAGCACCCCGACATCATTCTCACCTACATGCGCGAGCCGCACCGGAAGTTCGTCGAGCGGATCCACCGGGACTATAATATGGTCCATGGGGCGGTCGCGTTCTACGAGGTCGCTGAAATGCGCTCCCGCTCGGACCGCATGGTGCAAACACCTGGCTTCTCGAAAACTTCCGAGGATCTCCTCAAGGTGGTCCAGCTCGACAACAAGGTGGCGGTCGCCTCAGAGACGGAAGTCATGGATCGCCTCCACTCGTTCTTTGTGGCGCTCGAGTACCTCAACATCTGCGAGTTCACCTTCGACTCCGGTCCCCTCAAGTACCTCTCGGAGCTCGAGGAGTGGCGCCACGAGAATCGTGGTCTCGCAGTTCTTCTCGCCGCTGATTCCTTGATCAGGAAGAAGGTCTACAAGCTCAACAACGACAAGCGCAAGGACTTTCCTACGTTCTCTGAGGCTCTCTGCGAGGTCCTCAAGAACTACAAGCAGCTCTGGAACGACGCTCGTTCAACAGCTGAACTTGAAAAGTTCCGCCAGGTCGAGCACGAGTTCGCTACTCCTCCGAAGCGGCCTCGCTCGAGGTCCCCTCCGCCGACACCTCCGAAGAACGAGGCCAAGACTCGCAAGAATCGAGCTCGTCGGCAGAAGGAAAAGGAGTTGCTCAAGCAAGCTCGCGCAGAGCGCGATCGCGCTCGTGACCACGCTAAGCCGAACAAGCCTTCAGTGCCTAAGCTCACAGAGAAGGACAAGGTCGATCGCGACACCCGGGTTCCGGAGAAGGAGTGGAAGAAGATCATGTCCTTCTCTTATACTGGGGCTCGCCGCTGCCCATGGTTCAACTGCTCGCTCGGCTGTCGGTTTGGGGATCAATGCAAGAACAAGCATATCTGCGTGCATGGCAATCACTGAGCTCTCGTGCCACCGCCGGGGGAGTTTGGTCGTCTCCCTCCGGCACCGGTGCTCGACAGACCACCGGGGGAGTTCTCTCCCCCCCCACTGCAGCAGCCGCCAGCTCTGGCTGCTAATGAGGTTTCTTCTCAGAGACTGACAGCTGCCCCTGCAGGTCGGCCGCCACCGTGGCTTCGTTGGGCTGAGGTGCCCCGGGATCCCGACACAATTGGTGAGCTCGGTCCCTGGTGCCTCGAGATCTTTGCCGGGTCTGCTGGCCTCACCGCTGCCTGGAAACGTCACGGTCTTTGCCGCCGATCGACAAGTGCACCTCCGAGTTCCTCCTGGAGTCGATCGACTTGCTGGACGCACAGGTCTTTGATTGGCTGCTCTTGCTGTGCCGCATGGGGGCGATCGTCTTTCTGCACTTGGGCATTCCCTGCGCCGCGTTCAGCGTGGCTAGGGATCGGCCTGGAGGACCTCCCCCCCTGCGATCGCAGGCGCTCTACCTTGGCCTCTACGTTCTCAAGAAGCACCATCAAGCACAGCTCTTCGAGGCCAATGAGCTCCTGTTCCGATCTCTTCTTCTTTTCGACGCTGTGGTTCAAGCTGGCGGAGATGCCTCGATCGAGAACCCGAAGGACAGTCTGATCTGGCAGGTCCCTCAGGTCCAGCAGCTCAAGGTTCGTCTTCACCTCTACAACGTCGATCTTGATCAGTGCGAGTATGGATCACCTCATCGCAAGCCTACTCGGCTTCTTGTCAGTCACGCTGCTCTTCTCGCTCTTGCACGTCCTTGTTCAGGTGGACATGTTCATGAGCCTCTTCGTGGCGTGACAAGGTCGGAGACTGGCAAGAAGATCTTCAAGACTAAAGCAGCTCAGGTCTACCCCTCGGCGCTTTGCACCGCGTGGGCGATCGCCGTGGCCGCGATCGTGCAGAAGTCGGCCCAGCAGTTCGCCGCTTCGTTTGCTCTCACGGCTCCGTCGGCAGAGCGCAAGCGATCTTTGGGATCCCAGATTGCTTGGAAAGGCCATCGCCAATCCGCTGCCGCTCGGCTGGCGGCGGCTAGCGGCTATCAGCTCAAACGAGGTGCCGCCAAGCCGCTGCTCGACGTCGAGTGTGAGCCAGGTCAGGCAATCCAGTGGTCTCTTCAGGTTCGGCACCCATTTACCGTGCAGCCGGCGCTCCCCGACAAGATCGTCGACAACATCAAGTTCATTGTCTCCTCCCCGCAGGCGCTCGTGGCTCGCCGTTCTGAGCGCCTTCAGTTCTGGCAACAGCGTGCGCTCACGCTGCTTCCAGAGACAGATCGGATTTTGCGGTCAATCGCCGACGCTCCTCTTCGTCGGCTTCTTCGCGGTGCTCCGGATTATGCTGATCTGCAGCTGGGCTCTTGCACTCACGTGGCGCTCTACGACGAGCTCTTCGCAGCGATCGGCTGCACGGATCATCAAATTCTCCAAGGCATTCGCGGTGGCTTCCCGATCGTTGGCGAAATCCAGCGCTCGGGGCGCTGGCCGCCGTTCACAAAGCCACAGCGGTCAGTGCCTGTGCAGGAAGCTCTGGATCGGGCCTGGGAGTTGCGAGCCAAGGTCTTTCGCAGATGCAGGTCGGTTCCCGTTTCTGACAATCTAAGGTCTCTTTGGAATGCCACGCTCGAGGACGTCAAGGAAGGCTCCACCTTGGGTCCTTTCGGATCCGAAGAGGAAGTCTCCAAGTTCTTGGAGTGTTCCGACTGGATCCCGACCCAACGTTTCGAAGTGGTTCAGAAAAACAAGGTCAGAGGCTGCGATAGTGCTACATCCAACTTGATCAACCAGACCGCGGTGATCACCGAGAAGTTGGAGCTCACCTCTCTACGGACTTGAACGTGGCGGTTCTGCGCGAGCTCCGCACCAGAGGAGGCGATCGCCCGCTACGAGGATGGGTCCTTGACGAGCGGAAGGCCTATCGGCAGCTTCCGATCTTGCCGGAGCACAGGAAGTTCAGTGTGATCTGCCTGAAGGATCCTGGTGATGGCATTCCCAAGTTCTTTGTGATGATCGGACACTCCTTTGGTCTCGTGGCGGCGGTCTACAACTATAATCGCCGCTCGGCCCTGATCAACGATATTCTCGTCCGGCTGTTCAGCATGGCCGCCTTCAACTTTTACGACGACAAGTACGGGTTCGAGACCGATCTCACGGCGCCTTCGGCTAAGGTCGTGGCCGAGTGCATCCACTTCTGGCTCGGCGCTCTCTTCGACGAGAAGAAGCTCCAGCTCTCGGCGGCGCCTGTGATCTTGGGCGTGACTTTTAACCTTGAGCTCTTAGTTCTTGAGATCAAGGAGCAGAGGAAGCAAGAGCTCCTGGACTCGATCGACGCGATCTTGGAGGCGGGCACCTTGGATCCTGGGACCGCAGGCAAGCTCAAGGGCAAGCTCATGTTCGGAGCGAGCCAGCTCTGGGGGAAGGTTGGACGTGCGTTCTTCCGGCCCCTCTCGGAGCGCCAGTACTCGAAGGACAGGTCTAGCGATCGTATGGAGCTCAACCTGGCTCTAGAACGATCGCTCCGTTACTGGCGGAACCTCATCGTTCACGGCCCTCCGCGTGAGATCTCACTCCGCTCGGAGAAGAATGCCGATGTTGTGATCTTCACAGACGGCTTCACTCCAGACTTTCGGAAGTCGGAAGAAAGAGCCGATCGGATCGGAGCTGTGATGTTCGATCGGAGGGCCGATGCTCCCAAGCAGTTCACTGAGGTGATCCCACTCGAAGTATCGGACCGATGGCTCGCGAGGAAGACCCAGATCGTCCCGATCGAGATGATCGCGCCGATTCTGGCGCTCGAGACTTTCCGGGATCACGTGAAGAATAAGGACGTTCTCCTTCTGATTGACTCTGAGGCGGTCGAGGCTGCTCTAGTGAAAGGATACTCTTCAAAGGAAGATCTCTGTGAGCTCGTTGAAGTTTTCTGGGAATTGGCTCTTGAATATAGGGTCAACTTCTTTATCGATCGAGTTTCTACAGATGCCAACCCCGCAGACTGGCCATCGAGGGATCGCCTCGAGATTGGCCAAGCTGCTGGGTGGTCGACAGTTTTGTGCTCATGGCCAGCGAAGCTCCGCTAAAAGATCGATGCAGGGCCTGGGAGGTTGCTCGTATTTCGAACGAAGGGAATTTGTTCGAGATGCTCTCGCGTCTGGTGTCCCGGGAAGGGTTCGCCGGTTGCGGGTTCGAGCGACTGCGACGACGACGACTCCGTTCGTGGGTTGTCGTTGTCCTGGGGTGGGGGCCGGTCGTTTCTGATGCTCTTCGGTAGTTCTTCTTGTGACCGCTCAACCCCATGCTAGAGCGGATTAAACATTGCTCGTCCGCTCGGTGGGTGGCATGCTGTTCAGTGAGCTTGCGAGCGTTCGTGCGTGTAGTGTGGTTCTCCTATTGTCGGCTAGGTAGGTCTGGAATAGGAGGGTCACGACACTACGGCATGAGATCAGCATGCTCTTTTGACTTTTGATCACCACGTTGATCCGTGGCCATTTTGGGTCGAGACGATCGTCTCGATCCGCGAAGGATCTTTTTGTCCCACCCAACCCGCCCTATTATGAGGTGGGAGGTTGCTCGTATTTCGAACGAAGGGAATTTGTTCGAGATGCTCTCGCGTCTGGTGTCCCGGGAAGGGTTCGCCGGTTGCGGGTTCGAGCGACTGCGACGACGACGACTCCGTTCGTGGGTTGTCGTTGTCCTGGGGTGGGGGCCGGTCGTTTCTGATGCTCTTCGGTAGTTCTTCTTGTGACCGCTCAACCCCATGCTAGAGCGGATTAAACATTTGGGGTGCCAATTTATGGGGTGGGCTGTCTATTCGCCCTCTGAATATCCTCTGCGGGGCAGGCTCGCTTCTACGAAGCAGTGGCGAACTTTGCCACAAGGCGATTGTAGTCTTCTCTCTAGGTTCTGCGTGGCTATGCAGGGCTCGTCGGGTTCTGCGTGAGTGTTTGTAGTTCTGCGGGGGTCATTCAGGGGGTTGGATAGGGCGGCCCACCCCATAAATTGGCACCCCAACATTGCTCGTCCGCTCGGCGTGTGGCATGCTGTTCAGTGAGCTTGCGAGCGTTCGTGCGTGTAGTGTGCGTTCTTTCTTTCCGAGGGGAGAAAGAAGCCATGGACTGCTTAAACAAAATTTAGCAGAAACCCTCCAGCTCTACGTGGCATGTCTTGGCATTTGCGTTTTAGACACTTGTCCATGCCTCAACTCAGAAGCTCCTGCATTTGCAACACGTCCGATGTGCTGTCTCTGTGTTTTGTGTAACGCAGCATACATGCGGGGAGCGTCAGATATTGAGCGAAGCCCGCACCCGGTGCAGCGCCCCCAGCCTCGAACTGTTGAAGGCAGCGGCAAGAAGACCGGTCCACCTGTAAACGCCTTCGCATAGGCACAGAATCCACAGAACTGCCGCCTGGCCTGTCCGTCAAGGCCCTGCAGCCTGAGCAGCCCCAGCTGTTCCTCTCAACTGCGTCGTTGCCTCGTCCGAGGCGCGACGGAAGCCCCACGTCATCACAGAAGGAGATCGCTTTCTTAAACTCGGAGCTGAAAAGCTACCAGGACATCCAAAATCCGGGCAGGGAGGGCAGCCCGGGGCTTGGATTGCAAGGTCTGTGTTATGTAGGGTGATTGCAGCGGATCCGGCAAGTAAGCTTGGCTCGCACATGTGGTGATGACGGCATGGTGTCAGTGCGGTCGGGTTGATGAAAGAACATGCGAGCTCTCTGCCTCTGATGGCCGTGACGGATAGTATTGGGGCATGGAGGCTTGGATGTTGTTCGCAGGCGTGCTATGACCTTTGGCTTAATTTGCGGGTTTCCCAAAGAAGGATGACAGCCTACAGCCACGCGATGCGAGAACGCATCGTCAGGGCACGGCGTCCGACACACACTTGGCGAACATCGGAGCTTGAAGCCAGTCTGAAGCGACAGGCTCTCCTGTGACTCGCTTGAACCGTAAGAGTCTGCATCCCCTGCAAACTCGCTAGCCTGCAAACTGCACGTCAATGCACCGTGGGAGGAGCAGACGCTTCGGCTCGCGAAGTTGCTCCAGGAAACCAGGCGAATGGGTTGGGTTCGGGGTGTCAGAGTATAGTTGTCAAGTCGTGAGTCTTCTCATTCTTTCGCGCAGTCGGGTGGCAAGATAATCTCACACAGGTCGCTGGCCGGAATACATCCGCAGATCCATCCATCCAGACAGACATGTACACACCGACTAGAGTACATAGGTACATAGATGTAACCTCATGCACTGTGCATCTGCGCGCTACACATGTATACATAGCTCTTCGCGGACCTTCTCTCTCCCTCTGTCTCTGTCTTCCACTAGCTTGCTCACGACATTTTCGTCCTATGGTGGCTTTGGACTGCTTCTTGCGCCTGCAAATGCCTACTAGGACGAAGTTGGAGACCCTCCAGAACGAGAACTCCTTCTTGAAAAGTCGCCTGGCTGCTTCAAGTCAAGTTTGCCGGCTTAATGCTTCCTCGGCTGTGAGACGGAACTGATGTGAGGTGAGCTCGAGGTGATGCATCAATGCTCGAACGACGCAGATGAGAGGCGCCGCTTTTGTGTCCGGTTTACACAGAAAGGGCTCTTAATGGCAAGTAACAGTTTTTCGTTTCTCCGGCTCAGCAAATCTTTCTAGCCCCCTCTCTCGTCGCTCAGTAGCCGTGCAAAGAAGCAACAAGTCGAGGTCTAGCCGAGTTTAGCCTCCAAGAGGATCAGACGCCGGCCCAGCTAGCATGAGGAAGTTTCAGCATCTTTAGTTTAGAGGTTCAGACCTTCGGACCTGTCTCGTCAGCCCCGAAAGCTATCGCAATCTCCGCACTAGAGGAGTAGAGCTCGACTGTTCTATGCGTCTTTGGACGTCTTCGTGGTGTAGCTGTGCCGGAGCTGGTCCCTCAGGGCCACCGGATCAACTCACACGAATGTCCGTCGTCTGCAACCGATCCGGTTTGCTTGCCCGGGTCTTGTCAATGACGTTCTCCAGAGGCAACTTGGTCACCACAAGTATCTCGTTTGTTTGTTGTCCAGTCTTCTGGCTTCTTGCCGACGGAGCCTCAAGGAGTATGCTTTGGGGTGCAACAGGCTGCGCAGCGCTGCCTGCTTACTTTCGTCCCCGCCGGTCGTCCGAAGTCCACTGTGCGACAGAGAAATGACCGCGTTGCCAACCCGCGGACTCGTCGACTAGACCGATTATGAGTGAAGATATTGGGCGCAGGCTCGACACCCTCCGGCGTCATTTCAACGAGCGCCTTCGAGCTACTCGCCGGATATGGGACCTCGTTTTTTCAGGTCCGAGAGGTGGTTGAATGGGATCAGGCAGGCAGGAATGCCTAAGATCATTCTCCCAGGTTTTGCTGGGCGTAGTATTCGTTATGTCCGATCTCTGGTCTTTGTCCTTCGGTCGGACTGGACGTCTACTTGAAACATGGCCCCAAACTGAGAGAATCCGGAAGCCCTCCTTCAGGAAATGGAGAGGCGCTACAACGACAAGGCCGGAAAGGGCTGGGTCGTAGAAATCTTCGGTCTAATATGTTATGATTTTCTGTTCAGGTGTAGTGCTTGTTCATCTTTGGCTGGCCTCTCAAAGGCGACTCTGCTTTCAAAACAGGACAGTAACAAAAGAGAGAGAGCTCGTTCCAGATTTGTGGTTAACAACATGAATGCAGCATAGCTTCTAGACAGAAAGTGTAGGGCAGGTTCGGCCCGTTTTTTCATGTTTGAGGGACCCGGAAAAGCGAACCGGTTGGTGAGTCGCGGCCGTTTCAAAGCCAGACACGTCGGTGCCATAGCGAGGGAAATGTTTTATGCGTCTTCGCTGGGACATACCTGAAAACAACTGCAGTCCATGCCGTCATCACTGATACCCCGTTATTCGGGCAGCGCCGGTCTACATATGCCTTGCTAGATTCTGCTAGATTCGACGTTTATGCACCCCCTTCTCCATCCAAAAGACGTGGTTTTCCAGTGTTTTACAAGCTACGGGCCGTGTCACCGTAGCTACAGTCGTCTCATGATGTCCCATGCCTGTCGACATTGGTCTTGTCTCATAGTAACAAAAACTGAACGCATCATCGGCAAAAGACCTGCAGAGATGCCCGTGGAGGAACGCGCGTGGAGGGAGACCTTCAGCAGGCTCCGCTCTCACCTTGGTGTGGGCAACCCGCCTGCAGCAACAGGGTTGGAAACAGGGCAGCGCGGCAAGTCGCCTGAGTCGAAACTCTGCTGCGCCAAGGAGCAGTGGCCGAGCCGGCACATGAGGAGTTTGCTGCTTTCTGCGAGCTCTGAAGCAAATTTCGTGGGGCTGAGGGCCGGTTCCAAGAACAACCTGGGTGAAGGATTCAGAGGGCCGACAGGCTTTACAAGATGCCACTACTAGAAGGAGAGTTTTGTCCTCGAAACACAGCTGCTTTGGCCCTGCTAGGAGGACGACGTGCCTGGACTTGCCGTCCTGGAGGAGACAGTTAATTCATTCGGCTCACGGTTTTCATGCTGCTCTCATGGCATAGCCACAGAGCCCCCGAAGGCTGACGAAGCTATGCAGGCCAGAGTAGTCGGGAAATTGCTCTGACTCGAAGCCCACATACTGGCAGACATGGTGACAAGGTGAAGAATTGGCTGGAGCAGAATTGAGTGAGCTGTTGAACCCAAGCGCTGTGATCATACTATGAGGATCGTTGGTGAGAAGTAAAAGCACAGTTGGTGACAGCATGATACAGCCTGCCGGCGGCTTGCGCAGTGGGTCACCTATAACACAGTGGTCAATTTGCTCCGTCGTGCGTGCCCGGTCCGCCCATCATGCTGTCTCCATGTCGAGATGCGCACTGTTGCACTGTCGCACTTCGGACATGGCTCTCGCCAGAGTGCCTTGGGCTGCTGGACGTGACCGCCCATTGTGGCCGATACAAGGGAATCGAGCTTTGAAAGAGAGATCGTGCTCTTTCCGAAGAGCAGTCCACATGTTGGAGTGCAAATCGTGCTCTCGCCTCGCTGGCGTTTGCATCTTGGACTTCAATCCTCCCGAGTTTTCTCTCAGTGGGTCTGGCAATTTGCAGGTCGTCGTTGCAGCGGACCTGGTGGTTGTTGGCCAATATGTTGGCAAGTCTACTACTTTGGCCTAGCGTTCGGCGTCTATACGATCAGCGAAAAGCCCAACTGAACTCAGAGTGAGTGTTCTGCGATGGAGAAGCGGCTTTGGTTCGTGAAGACAGCTCAACCCAAATTCATGACCTGCTGGCTAGCTCTCTTCTGTAAATCTTGTAGTGGCCATAGATGAGATGGCTTGTTCTTGCAGTTTGGGTGTTCGTATTATTTAAGTGGCGCAAGTGTTGACTACGTTGCTACGACTTTCTGAACACTATTGTTGTCGTCGTGTGTCACTGCCCGGCCTTGTCCTCGCAAAGCTGGTGTAAGAGTCGAAATTCAATCACTTCCAGGAGGAAGTGCAGAACCAGGAGCCCGCGACACCTGCTCCGGGTGAGGTGGGACGCTCACACTATGCCTCTGCGCAAATCTGAAAGCCTTACATAGGTCAGCATCAATACCGTCCACAGATCTTCCAGGTCTTGGAAAACATACAAGCCTTTTTGCCTTGCGATCGAAGCAGGGGCTCGGGAGTTTGCGAATCATGCCAACACCTGCTGGGGAAAATAACAATGATGCTTGTAAAGTAGGAATGGGAGGCACGCGTTGGAACAGGAGCAGTTGCATTACCACTATGTTTCCATTATTGGCTGAACTATGGTCATTATTCTTCTTCCTATTCTTATTGCTATTACTACTCTTATTGTTAATCACGCTATTAAATATTTCTACCACGTCGTTGTCGTAGCAGCCGTGGCAGCAGCAGTGGTGCTAGGATTAGTATGATCATCAAGCATAAAAGTAGGAGTCG